TTATAAACTTAGTAAAATTGGAGTAGGAACCCATTTTTATAATATAATCAAAAGTATGTATAAAAACACGAAACATGTTAACAGCTGACTTTAGATCATGTATTGGAGTATGACAAGGTGATAATCTGAGCCCGAGTCTCTTTAAAATAAATATTTATTAATGATTTTAAATCTTTATTAGATGAAACCTGTGACTCAGTATTGCTATCAAATATTTCATTTAATTGTCTTCTTTATGCTGATGATCTTGTACTGCTTTCTGAATTTAAAAAAGGCTTACAGACTGCATTAAATAAGCTGGAAATCTATTGTAAAAATTGGGGTTTAGAAGTTAATTTAAAAAAAACGAAATCTATAGTTTTTAATACATCTGGCCGTAATAAAGATGCACAGTTTTCATATAAAGACACATACATCCAAAATACCCAACATACTTATCTTGGCATAACTTTTAGTGCATCTGGCAGCTTTTCAGAAGCCAAAAATATGTTATATAAAAAAAGGTTTAAAAGCTTTCTTTAAATATACTAAATATTTTAATAATTATAACCCTAATATCTCCACTCTAATGCACATTTTTGATCACACAGTGAAACCCGTATTATATATGGTTCAGAAATATGGGGTTGTTTTAACTCAAAGAAGTTAAAGAATGACACAGAACTAAATTATTTCTATAGACTTTGTAAAGATCTAAAAAGCGAGAAAGTGCATCTAAAATTCTGCAGATTTACATTAGGAGTGAATAAGCATGCAACAAATTTGGCCATATTTGGTGAATAAGGTCGTTATCCTCTAATGTTAGATATTTTAACAAACATGATCAAATATTGGAAAAGAATTCATATTACAAATAATATTTTATTAACAAATGCATACTCTCTCAAATACATTATCGAAAGCTGGGAAGAATTCTTGGACTAGTTGTATTCATGCTATCCTGAAATTGCTTGATTTACAAGAGTATCAAGTACTCTCATCTAAAACAAACATTAAGAATATGGTGAAAAAGAAATTATATTTAAAATATTGTAACTTATGGAAGAAAGAATTATTCAATGATAAAAGACAAAATAAGACCTCTGGAAATAAACTTCGAACTTATCGATTATTCAAACCAAACTTTAATTTTGAGCCATACTTATTGAAATAACCATATCTTCACAGATGTGTTTTAACAAGATTTAGAATTGGAGCTCACAAACTTGAAATAGAAAAAGGTCGTTACTTTAATATAGAATTAGAAAATAGAATATGCAAACTCTGTAATGAGGAAGTACAAGATGAGATGCATTTTCTTTTAACATGTAAAGCTTTGGTTAATGTTAGAAATTCCTATCTTAGCAAAATATTTAGTAAAAATAAAAATATTTCAAAACTTGATAACAAATCTCTGTTTATTTGGTTAATGGGAAATGAAGATAAAAATATTTTGATAATAATTTGTCAATTATTAGAGGTTTTAAATAAAAACAGGCATACAATACTAATTTAGAATACTTTATACAGAGTTATAGATATATATGATCATATATGCATTTACAATAGTTACTATTTACATTTAATTAATAATTGGTATGCTGTGAGGTGTATTGTCCGATAAAGGGTCCAGAATAACAAACAATGGGTCATATTATATATTTTTATTATAACAAATTAATTATTTCAGTTACTTTGATATTATATATTAATCAATTAAATCAAAATTAATCATGTTATGTACTTTGTTTAACCTATTTTTAATTTACTTTTATATTATGTTTGAAATTATATTGTAATTATTCTGCTCATTTTGGGTGCCGTGATTGGCAAATACAATATTTGTTTGTTTGTTTGTTTGTTTTAGTAAGCAATGAATTTGGTTGTTATATTTGATAGATGCTTTTTGTGCTTCTTTGTTAAATGTTTGTTAGTTTTGAGATTGTGACACAGCGATGACTGCTATACCCATATTATGACAATGTTACCTATTATGTCTGTTTTGTTCACGCATCATTCTAAATATAATGGAATTTGATGCGACTGTCATACAAGTAAGAGGTTTAGCGCTATAAAACCAGGTTCAATCCACCATTTTCACATGAAGAACAGGTGTTAGACTTTATACTGGCTAAAAAAGATCATAAACATATTAAAATTTGTCTTTTTCTTTAAGGGTACTGCTTGTTAAGAAATCACTTCATATATGTGTCATATGGGTTGATTTATGATACATATATAAGACTTTAGAAGAGCTTTTGATACTGTTAATCATACAGGACTGTTTTATAAACTTAGTAAAATTGGAGTAGGAACCCATTTTTATAATATAATCAAAAGTATGTATAAAAACACGAAACATGTTAACAGCTGACTTTAGATCATGTATTGGAGTATGACAAGGTGATAATCTGAGCCCGAGTCTCTTTAAAATAAATATTTATTAATGATTTTAAATCTTTATTAGATGAAACCTGTGACTCAGTATTGCTATCAAATATTTCATTAAATTGTCTTCTTTATGCTGATGATCTTGTACTGCTTTCTGAATTTAAAAAAGGCTTACAGACTGCATTAAATAAGCTGGAAATCTATTGTAAAAATTGGGGTTTAGAAGTTAATTTAAAAAAAACGAAATCTATAGTTTTTAATACATCTGGCCGTATTAAAGATGCACAGCTTTCATATAAAGACACATACATCCAAAATACCCAACATTATACTTATCTTGGCATAACTTTTAGTGCATCTGGCAGCTTTTCAGAAGCCAAAAATATGTTATATAAAAAAAGGTTTAAAAGCTTTCTTTAAATATATAAATATTTTAATAATTATAACCCTAATATCTCCACTCTAATGCACATTTTTGATTACACAGTGAAACCCGTATTATATATGGTTCAGAAATATGGGGTTGGTTTAACTCAAAGAAGTTAAAGAATGACACAGAACTAAATTATTTCTATAGACTTTGTAAAGATCTAAAAATCGAGAAAGTGCATCTAAAACTCTGCAGATTTACATTAGGAGTGAATAAGCATGCAACAAATTTGGCCATATTTGGTGAATTAGGTCGTTATCCTCTAATGTTAGATATTTTAACAAACATGATCAAATATTGGAAAAGAATTCATATTACAAATAATATTTTATTAACAAATGCATACTCTCTCAAATACATTATCGAAAGCTGGGAAGAATTCTTGGACTAGTTGTATTCATGCTATCCTGAAATTGCTTGATTTACAAGAGTATCAAGTACTCTCATCTAAAACAAACATTAAGAATATGGTGAAAAAGAAATTATATTTAAAATATTGTAACTTATGGAAGAAAGAATTATTCAATGATAAAAGACAAAATAAGACCTCTGGAAATAAACTTCGAACTTATCGATTATTCAAACCAAACTTTAATTTTGAGCCATACTTATTGAAATAACCATATCTTCACAGATGTGTTTTAACAAGATTTAGAATTGGAGCTCACAAACTTGAAATAGAAAAAGGTCGTTACTTTAATATAGAATTAGAAAATAGAATATGCAAACTCTGTAATGAGGAAGTACAAGATGAGATGCATTTTCTTTTAACATGTAAAGCTTTGGTTAATGTTAGAAATTCCTATCTTAGCAAAATATTTAGTAAAAATAAAAATATTTCAAAACTTGATAACAAATCTCTGTTTATTTGGTTAATAGGAAATGAAGATAAAAATATTTTGATAATAATTTGTCAATTATTAGAGGTTTTAAATAAAAACAGGCATACAATACTAATTTAGAATACTTTATACAGAGTTATAGATATATATGATCATATATGCATTTACAATAGTTACTATTTACATTTAATTAATAATTGGTATGCTGTGAGGTGTATTGTCCGATAAAGGGTCCAGAATAACAAACAATGGGTCATATTATATATTTTTATTATAACAAATTAATTATTTCAGTTACTTTGATATTATATATTAATCAATTAAATCAAAATTAATCATGTTATGTACTTTGTTTAACCTATTTTTAATTTACTTTTATATTATGTTTGAAATTATATTGTAATTATTCTGCTCATTTTGGGTGCCGTGATTGGCAAATAAAATATTTGTTTGTTTGTTTGTTTGTTTTAGTAAGCAATGAATTTGGTTGTTATATTTGATAGATGCTTTTTGTGCTTCTTTGTTAAATGTTTGTTAGTTTTGAGATTGTGACACAGTGATGACTGCTGTACCCATATTATGACTATGTTACCTATTATGTCTGTTTTGTTCACGCATCATTCTAAATATAATGGAATTTGATGCGACTGTCATACAAGTAAGAGGTTTAGCGCTATAAAACCAGGTTCAATCCACCATTTTCTACATTTGAAAATGCCTGTACCAAGTCAGGAATATGACAGTTGTTGTCTATTCGTTTGATGTGTTTTATCGTTTGATTTTGCCATTTGATTAGGGACTTTCCGTTTTGAATTTTCCTCGGAGTTCAGTATTTTTGTGATTTGACTTTTTTTTACCAATTGAATATCACTTGAGGATTGTGTAGAATTACCCTCCAATATTTGAATAAGATGTGATATGACTACCAATAAGAAAACTGTCCACCAAACGACAAGGGTGTAAACATCTACAGGTCACTGTTAGACCTTCAACAATGAGGAAAAAACCATACCATGAAGTAATCTTTAATTTGTCTAAAAGTCCTAGGATAAAAAAATGAAAAACATTACAATAGGGAAAACTAAATGATTCATAAAAGTCCTTGGATAACAAAATGTGAAACATTACAATAAGGAAAACTCAATGCCTGATTTATAAATGGCCTTGGATAGCAAAATGTGAAACACTACAACAGAGAAAACTAAACGCCCGATTCATTTGAATAACGAAAAACAATTATGACAGATGGCAACCAACGACAACCATTGGACTACAGGTTAATCCATTTTCTTTCAAAGCTAGGTGGTAATATTCACTTGAACTTTTGTTGGCCTTTCAAAAAAATATGAAATTAGATGGTAAGTTAGTAATATTTACTTAGAACTTTTGTTGGCCATTCTTAAAATATAAAATTAGATACATGTACCATCTACAAAAGAATACTATAAAAAGAGCATAATGATGAGTGGCAATAGCCCTTTATAGATAAAAGTGCACCATTTTATAAATTTGTCAGCAGTTTACTCACGGCATTTAATTTACATCAGATCTTGAAACAGACTACAAGTTGTCATATTTATGAGGAACTGTGAAACTAGCTAACTCATTTGACCACTAGTCATATACTGTATACAGTATGACAAATTCGTTCGTTTGAGACCAAGATTTTGACATGTACATCATAAATGCCACTTTTTTTGGGTATCCTAAACATGTATAAAGCACTAAATATATAAATGACAAATATGTTGTATGTAAACAAGTTTAAATCATATCAATTAAAATGAAAATTGCCATTTAATATCCTAATTGGAGTTTACATAATCTTAAAATGATGGTTATTATTTCAGAAATAATTTATTCAACATTATACACACTATACAGGAATAAAGTGAAAAAAAAACCTTAATCTCCCTCCTTCCTTTTAAGTCTTAAAGACACATCGTACAGACAGGTATTCGCATGTTAAATCCCTGTCTATAGTAAACAAAATGCTTGGTAAAGACAGTTACCATCCCGCTAAAACTTAACAAAATCTGCAGTTGAAAGGGGTTTGATGTACATGTAGAAAGGTTTCACTACAATATGATTCTAACTAAATACGGATTTCAAATATTATGCACTAATAAACACCATCTGGTTATACATATCGGACAAGAAATGATTCAATTTTCGCTGCCAAAAAATATGAACCGTGCATCATATTTACAATCATAAAATTATAATATTAAATATGTCTGATTAAAAGAACAAGATCTAGTTGTAGCATTCATTTCTTCTTGGAACAGTCAAAAAAATATCAAATTCAACAAAATGAAAATTTGCGATTAACAAAACTGAATTGTTTTTTTTCATAACCATGACAACTACTTATAAATCTTCAATGGATTGCCATCAATTTTTAAAAAGTGTAAACTAAATTTTAAATATATAAAAAAAATATGAGTATATACACATTTCTTATTACAAGGAGTACAATAGTTGATGGTGTTATTTGATTCTTTGAATGCTAGAAAAATCTTTAACAACAGAATCAAAATAAACCAAAATCGTACATTGCATATGATTATAAAGATCTGAACACAGATTACCCGTACATACATCATCTAATAAATGAATAAAAGAAAGAGTAGAAAATGTCTTCCACATTACTCTGGATCAATGAACATCAGAGCTATTAACTGGAACCCAACAGATGGTTTACTGCAATAATAGAGTTACATGAATTGAATCCAGATTTTCTGCAGTGGTTAATCAAGAATATTTTAGAAAGGTGAGCGAGGATGAAACAATTTGTGGACGATATTATGCTAAAAAATGAAATAAATCGTGAGTAACTTATGACTTATGGTTTATGAGTTTGAATGTCCCTCTGGTATCTTTCGTCTCTTTTTTAAGATTTTTTAATTAAAGGCTGATCAAGGGATCTGCCAATGTTCTGTAAAAGTATATTAAGAACTATTCATTAAATAGTATATTAAGGACCTCCATTAAGAATTTAAAATATGTGGGAGTGTAGGAAGGGACTTTCAAAAAAACAACATGCTTTCTTTAATTAAATTTGAATACTGCAAAATGGACACTCAACTATAAATGAATCAAGACTCATGTGCAAAAACTTCCGTTCCAATCCTCCCACATTCATTTAGATTGAATATCTCTAAATATAAATACTTAGAAGAAAATTATTTTTACATTACACATTCTGTAAATATATAATAGAAAAAAATATTTAAAAACATATTGCAACACTTATTTGTAGTTATTGTATCATGCCAAAAAAACTTTCAATACTTTGGCAAAAATCATCGATAAAATCATGATTAGACAAAAGAGAGAAGATTAGAAAAGTTGATTTAATTTTCCAAGTTTTGGAAAACATATACTCTTGGAAAGTACTATTTCAGATGTTTATGGAAAGTACAACTGCATATATTTACCAAAAATAATAATAGGAAAATAGGCCCAAACGTGGCTTCAATTTGATCTAAAGATGTCATCATTGTCAGAAATATGCTCAAATGCAAAAATGAAAGAAGTTGCTCAGCCTCAAATTGGGATTTGTGAACTATTTAGTTGGCGAGAGTCTAGTTTGTCATCATAATGAACCAGACATTTTACTTAAATTGCAGAAAATATCAAATTGGTATCCTGTATTCAGATATTACTGCAAAAAAAATACTTCAATATCAATATTGCACTAATTAATCTGAAATACTGTGATTTAAAAGAGATGTAAGGTAAACTGCAATCAACTAAATGAAAAAAGACATCTAATTGATAAAGTATACACATGAGGTCTTCAACAATAGACAAGGGTCTCTCTATGCCAATGCTCTAAATCACATTGATTCTTAACCAATGAGTCTAAAATAATTTAACAGAGATTATCAAATATCTTCCATGAACACCAAATTTTCTTAACAACAAGAAAAATGTATTATATCTTAAAGAAAGCTACTGATAAGGTTCCCGACTTAAAACAGACACTTGAACAATTAAGTGACTGGTTTAAACTAGGTTTTTATGCACTCAAAGTTGCTCCTTTTAACTCACATTTTTATAGCTTCCCCAGGTCAACCTGACCTCTTACGTTAGTAATTTTTCTAAAGAGGCTGTTAGATTTGTGTAATAAAATAAGCTTGGGTTTCTGTTATGTTATTCTTAGGCCTGCTATATTTCTTAGAAAAAAATGAACAGTACATGTAGCTCTAACTCCCCTCCCCCCTCAAAAAAAATATTGCATCAACAAATAAAATGATTCTTCAGCAACTGACCCAAATTAAACCTAAACTTTCAAACATCAACTTGTCAAAGTTTTCTTTAAATAAGCTATAACATCTTTATTATCAAGAATCTCCATATGCTTGGCTCTTTTGACAGGAACATGATAAATCTTCTGTGGTTGTTTCCCTTGCCAATGTAAACATCCTTTTAGACTACGGATATTCACTGTACCATCGCCATCATCTCTCCTCACATTTGGTTGTGAATCTGGCCACATATTGCCTGTATACACCAGAGTTCCAGGCGTTTTAATGCCGTAACCATGGACACAATGAACTTCCACACCAGGGGGTGTCAGTGATCTGATAAGATTTGCTGTGTCCTGTCTCATGTACCACCCATCCATGTAATTAATATCCATGAAGAATTGTTTGTAATCATTGACTGTATAATTCCTTCCAGGTCTTTCAATTAGGATTTCATCCTCACCCCAAAACATATCTGACGGCATCAGCCAAGCAGAGCTAGGCATAGATCGTTGTTGGGCTCTCACATTTAATGCTTTTACAAAGGCTACACCCAGATTATCGCCTGCAATGAACCAATTGATACAAATATTACTTTTTTATTGGCTGATGGTTGGTTTTAAGAAAGGCTACACCCAGATTATCACCAGCAATGAACTGATTGTTACATATAGTATGTTTATTTGTGATGTTGAGTGAGGGTTGCAACCTGTTTAATTTATCTAGCTTGATTAGTAACTAATATACAAAAAGTTAGATGTACCCTTACGTATACAACGCCTTTTATAAAAAAATATTACTTACCTGAAGCATTATATTTTGGTACCAGAAATATCAATCCTAAACTGAATTTTCACAACTTATAAAAGAAGAAATTGTGCATTTGTATAATTTATATAAACTTTTCAATATTTTCTGACAATGTTTGTATTCTGATTTTTTTAAACTTTGGTATAAATTTCTGGAATTAAGGGAATTAATTAAACTTGATACTACTACATGTCAACCAATTTTTAAACAACACCTTGGTTAAATTATTTAGTTTGCACTTGTATATTTTGCCAGTTCAAAAACAATTTGGAAATGAACCAAAATCCTTGTACAGAAAGTAAATAAAAAAGACCTTTTCAATGCCATCATGAATACATTTATTGTCCCACCATTATCCGTAATGCATATTACAAGTTTGTAGTTTCAGTTTAAATTATTTCATTTTTGATATGGACATAAATTTAGGGAAATCTGAATTTAAAAGTATTTTTAGTGAAAAATCTGGACATATCATTAGGCTTTCATCTTTTACTTTCAGCATACATTGTATTACATCAAAACATAAATGTTAGTGATCTTTCAGTCTACCCCCACATATATAATGCCTTTTACAAAAAATATTTCTTACCTGAAGCAAAGAGTCTTAGTGGTTTGACAGATCCTCCCCATACACCAGCTAATGATATAAGTGAATGAATAAATTTATCTTTCCATGACTGTGGCTGGTGGTTAAGGAAGTACAGTGTGGTAGGATTCCCCATGCTGTGGCCTAGCAAGACTACTTTAGTATTGTTATTTTGAGCATATGTTTCCTCAACTAAAGTTCTCAAATTCTGGTAAAAATCAGCATATTCATCTGGAAAAAGTGAAAAGTTTTCATTATGCATGAAAATCATTCACATTTAGATACTAAATCAATGCTATACAATAAATTTTGTTTTTACAAAGATCATTACAATACATCCTATTTGATGAATTTTTCATGTTCAATGGGAGACAACTCAAGGTTTTTTATTCTGATAGAATGTAATCTCTCTGATTCTGCTGTGTCAGAAGGTTTTAAAGTACAACTCTGTGCATTAAAAAAAATCACTAGCACTGATAAAATTCATACAAAACAATTTATATGAGGGTTGGCCATTTACAATACTCCAGTAGACTTGTTAACTTGTACCTTTCTATATGGAAGAAATCTTAAAAAAAAATTAACGTTATCAAATCTAGCTTACATGGATTTTACTTTAATATCAACAATCTATTGCAAAATATTTTACTTGTTTTCAAAGGAGTAGGTTTCGATAAGGCCCTAAAATGGCCCCTAACTCTAGCTTAAATTAGAAATTAGGATTAATTGACCAATGTCACAATGGATCATAGCAAATACAATGACTAGATAGGAAATACATCTTTTCGTTGAAATTTACGTTCTTGCGTTCTAATCATGACATCACAAATAATACTCATTTTGATTTTCTGTGAAAATTCGATGAAAACGGGTAAATTTACATGGATTTTTTGGACAGGAAACATAGAGCACATGCGTCGACAAAAGAGATCTTTTAACATAATCTTTGTTATGACATTTAACATATCGGACTTGAATACTTAATGTTTTATGTTTTTTACCCTAGTGTTTACATATATAAGATATCAGTAAAATATCTTGCGAAAATATTTTATCACCTCAAGGTCATCAGATTCTTATTTAAGAATAATTTTCGCAATATGTATATACTCTGATTTCTTAAAACTTGTTTGGATGGTACATTGCAAGTCTTGAAAAAAAAATTGCATTTTCCCTTGAAATAGCCATTAGCTATCACATTGAACTGGATTTTTAATTATGCTAAGTCACAAGATTAGAGTCTGCAAGAAAAAATGTAACTCCACCTTAACACATTATTCTGAGTTGAGTTCAAGCTGACCTGTATTTGCTCTTGTGAATTATGAATTTTAAAGTCAATGACCAGGTATCAAACACATGAATTTCCCATTCAAGGTGTGCACTCTACAATAAAACCACTGAGACACATAAGGATTTTTAAAAACTGATGTGGTTAAAGTTAATACGACACATGTACATGAAATACATATGTATTTTCACCTATGTACTACTGTCATGATATGCTGCTTGATTCCAGTGTGAAATATTGTAAATTCAGAAATTAGTGCAAAGGTTTTATAAATGCGAATAATGCAACTGGTGAGTATCACAATAATAGGAACTGGTTTTCTGATATCTTATACATATAACTGTTTGCAGATTTTCCTGAAAATGCAATAATTGATACCGCGTTTTTGTCCATTTTTAAAAAATGGCAACAATAAATGCAAACAATGAATTATGAATTTACAGTATCTAATGATGAAGTTATTACACTTACTTGGAGCTTTCCTGAAGTCATATGGAGCACCTCTTACTGATACATTTCTCTCATATCCCCATTTTACCATGGCATTAACAATGGGTGAAAAGTAAGATGCTGAAAAGAAACAAAAAAAATGTTTTGATAATACTTTCTATGGAAGACTCTGTATTTCATGTCATCAAAGTCTATTTTTCTAAAATACCATAATTTATGTAAAAATACATAAAATTCTTATAGATTTTGTTTTTTTAGGATTTTTGTGCAAATCAGATATGTTGTGAATAAATGTTTCTTTTTTATTCAGTAAAATCAATGTTGTCAATGGATTTTATACCTAGGATAAAGTGTCTTGTGTTATTAAATGTACCTATTCCTTTTTCATAGTTTAAAAATCATAATTTAAGTTACACATTAAGCCAAAGCAGAAGCTGTTATGCAAAGTATTATCCTGCCTGTATTACCCATGTGTCAGACGGATCATCCTGGTCTGAATTATCAAGATCTGACACTTGTTAGAACTGATCATCTGCTTTCTGACATCTTGGAAGCCACCTCAATCCTTTTTTTAGTAGGGGCTAGCAGCAGAGTCCAATACCCCATCCTTTTTATATATTTTGAACAACAAAAGTACAAACTCTATCATATTTTTTTTTACAAAAAAGATACCCATACATGTAGTTATCATGATTAAGCTATTTCATGGATAGATGAATATAAATAGAAGTAAAATCAACATCTGATTAGTTTCAGATACTTATGATTCAATCAGCAACTTGTCATATATTTCATCTTAATTTTTTCAACCTTATCATATATATCCTGATGCTTGAAAAAATGACATATTCCAGCAACTCATCCCAACCAGTTATTACATAGTAAGTGGCCCCTTTCCCTTCGTCTGAAATAACTACGTTTTATACTTACTAGGACTAATATGTGAAGGATCAAGCCACTCCACCGTCCTTGTATCTCCCCATCCTGGAATCTTTGTTTCAACACCCGGTGGATTACGAGTTACATGTTTCTCTCTGTCATATAATACTCTGAAATATAGGAACATCATAAGCATAATTTGTATTGCAGGAGGATATAAATGACTCATACAAATAATGGGTAATGGAGGAACCTGAAAATTCATATATATATCATATTTTTACACCAAATATATCAATATATCACCTAAACAGCGGACTTGTGCATAAAAATTTGGAGTTTTGATACTCAACTACATCGAAATAACCTCAATTTGATTCCAGTTGACCTAATGACATTTGCAAAACAATCGTTCATGGTCTTTGACAACAACAGTTTTCTATTGCAAACCTAAACCATTACAGGAAAAGGTTATATTTCCTTCAATGGCAGACATCGTAAAGTAAGATGCATCATGATGAAGAAGCATCCACAACTAAAATAATTATAATAATTATTTATTTAAAAAAAAGAGGTGACATATAACACACTTATCTATACAACCAATCTGTCGTGAGGATTGATTTATTGATTGATGTTTAAAGCCACTTTCAACACTATTGTGCTATTTCCTGGCGGTTATGTTTTTAGTGGAGGAAGCGGACGTGCCCGGAGAGAACCACCGACCTTTGGTAGGAAAACTGACAATCCTAGTCAATTAAGATTGGAGTCGAGCACACCTGTCATACGGGGGATTCGAACTCTCAACCTCAGTGTTGACCGGCTAGTGATACAGTAGTTCAACTCCTTAGACCACCTGGCCGCCGAGGCCCCTCTCTGCCATGAGGACCTCATAGCCTTACATTTTCTAAACTGCACTGATTCTTGAAAAGCGTGATCAATTTAAAAGAGACAGCCATACATTGCATATCTGACAACAACAAATAAATCTCAATAGACAAAATTTCTTAAACCGCGAAAGTTGTATCATTCAATATAGGTACATGTAAAATTAAATATTGCATATGTACAGTGTAGTTAACTTTATTTAACAATGAACAAAGCTGTTATTTTCAACTAAAATCACCAAGTTATTATTTTATTTGGTCTTATTATAAAAAGTAATTTTCAGGATGACTGACAGGCAAACATGCTTTTTCCTGATGTTTTTTTTTTACATTTAGTAAAAAAGTAATTCTTAATCTTTTTAAACATAGTCACTGGTGTATTATATCTATTATACAGTAACCATATAAATTGTACATGTACCTATAGAAAATGTATCAGGTATAAATTCAAATAGCAAAATTTCAAAAAAAAATTTCCTTTGACATACTTCATGTTATCAGTGAAGCAATCTATTACAAAGGGAGCTAACTCTTCAAGATTTAGCCATAAACTAAAGTAATTATCTGTATGGAGAACACACCACGAATGAGGAGCAGTTGTCTTGTTTAGTTTTGCTACAAATTCACTTCCACCATCACCAGGTACTGAAAAATATTCAAAGAGTCGAAAAATTAAGTAAAGATTTTTTCTACATTGTATGCTGTTTCCAGCAACCGTTCTTACTTTTCTTATATCATGTACAATGTATATCACCAAGTCTTGCACCAAAACTTTAAATGAAAAAAAAAATCCACATGAATGTATTGATGCTGCATCCCTTCACTAAACATGCAAAAATTCAATTATCTTCGGCAGGAAAACTAGAAATCCTAGTCAATTAAGATTAGCGTCCATCACCTGAAAATAATCACATCATTGTCAACGTGTGATGACATTTTTCTTTTTCACAAAATTCAATGAAAACAGGTAAATTTCCATTGATTTTTTGGACTGAAAACATGTAGCAAACATTGACAAAAAATATGTTTTAAGATAATGTTTGTTACACATGTAATATTTTACATAGCTGACCTTAATATTTAGTTTGTCAAGCCTGCGCTCCAATGTTTTCTAGGCCTAATTTGGTTGAAATTCAGACGATTTCGTCAAATTTGACCAAAATCTCAATTTATGGCCCAAATGGGATGTCAATTATAACGTTTTTTTTAATTTTCTGTACAAAACTAGCTCTTTTATACTTTCAAATTTGACCAAAATCTCAATTTATGGCCCAAATGGGATGTCATTTATAACGTTTTTTTAATTTTCTGTACAAAAATAGCTCTTTTATACTTTCTTACATGTCTTTAAATCACCTTGAAATATTTTTTTATCTTGAAACAATAATATTCGGGGCCAAATAAGGTCCTTAACGAACTTACTCCTTTGTGGCAGTGTACCCTGAATACATCAGTTGGAAGATAATGAAAGATGAGAGAAACTGAGGGTTTGAAACACTGCTGTGTATGTTTGGAAACTTTCTCAAAGAAGAAATGTCAACATTGGAAATAAAATATCTGATCATGAACAAGATTTGCATTGTCAAATAAAAACTTGTGGGGTGCACAACATGTACATTATTTACATTTACATGAATGTTTGCACTTAAATCATGTACCACTTTCAAAGAAAATATGCAAATTCCCAATGACTGCAATGCATTTGGACACAGAAAATAATTATAAACAATAGCTCCTTATAAATCCATTGTTAGATGTACAAATTGTAAAATGGTGAAGATATGTCTCCTCAAAGACAGGATTCCATTCCCAATTCAAAGGTCACAATTTGATTAATATTCATGATATTATTCATACATCATTAATCATTATGTCATGTATAATGAATTTCCTGTATCTTTAAGACAAGTATGAAGACTTGTATGATTAGACAAACAAGAACATGAAGTAGGATACTACAGGACTGGATAGCCCAACTTTGGCAGGACAACATTTACCCATTCTGATAGTAAAGACAATCAAATAAAATCTTTCATTTCTGTTCTTTATTTAGAAATCTGTTTGTGTTTTCTTTTTGTTAACATATACATGCCATAGGAAAATACTTTCTATTAATGAGAAATAAATGTATTAAAATGTCGAAAGTTTTTCAAATCAAAAGTAATACTTATAAGTTACAATGTACATATTTAATTTAGATTTTGAAAAATAAAAATGAAAAACATACTTTAAAATAAGCAATCAAATGACGCGATAAATTTTTCCATCTATTACAATAGAATCATTTAAAAAATACTATAAGTGACAAATATTAATGTATAAGTGAAAAATATCAATGTGAACATTAGAATAAAAATAATGTAAGAAAGTTAAAATCATATATACAGTATAATATCCTTCATGTCCTTTCTTAATAATTTTTTTCAAATCTACATGATCTAGAAAAGATTTTAAGAAATCTGTAAAATATAATATTGTGCTACTTATTGTTCAACAAAATATGTACTGTACATCCTGAAACTTTCTGTCTTAATTTCCAATAATTATACTTCACATATGGACATGGTATTTTTATCTTTTCCATCTGAATTGTTGTACTTAAAAAAAAAAGTTATATGCAAATTGTTTGATTATGGTGTGATTTTTACATTCAAACCAGTACAAAATGTATAAAATGTCAATCATTAAAACTTCAAGATTCTATAATTTATTTTTCCCCAAATTTCACTCTTTTCCTTACTAGATCATGTGCATATTCCATGTGATTGTCATCAAATGACGGGAGACACAAGAAATGCTTATTGTAGTCAACAACTACTGGCATGAACTACAAAAGTTAACAGAGTTCTTGATAAAAACAAACGACGTCAGACTGAAATTAGAAAATGAAATTCATTTTTCTTAATAAATCTGATAACCATTACTATTCCCATGATTAGAAATATATATCTACATGTATGTAACTTAGTCTTTTGCATAATTATAACCTACATTTATTGATGTGGAGTGAAAATGGATTTATTTTGAGTTAAATCAATACTTAAGAATTGAATGCTTCATATACATGTATAGAGGTGTGCAAGTGTGTGAACATTATGTGTATGAAGCTCAGCCTTTGGTTTGTTTTTCTATTCATTGTTTCAAGGTTGTCCGGAAGAGTATGTGCAGCTATAGATGTTGCATTTTAAAGGCAAATAAAATATAACTTTTGGAATGCCTTAGTATCAAAATTACGGAATTGTATTAAACTTTTCATAATCTAATTATATATACATGTACATAAATTCTAACCTTTTCATTTTGCTTTAACAATATGTACTAAATTTTTCTTGCCATTTTGGTGTTTTGATGTTATTAGTATTAGGCATGTTGCTGCAAGATTTTATCTGTCTATTATCTGATCAGCAAAAACAAAACAAATCAATAACGTTTACAAATTATAAAAACATTTATGTCCTGGGATTTATACCTTATAACATCGAACTGTATTAAAAGAAGAAGATATAAATTTGAGACAACTTCGAAAAGTTTCCATGTTTTTTAACAAACAAGTTAGTAACGTCAAGTTTTCCCCACTCATGCTAATGATGCTTCACATCTGAAATGTGCATGCAAAATTTATAATTTTTTCAGCATTTGTCCGATTACCTGTAAGCTTTAAAACAAAGAAGTACATTACCTAATATCACAGGATTCAGGATCTTACATTCACAATAAAAAATGAAGAATAAAAAGGAAAATATCAAACAAAACATGTTTGATAAAAATCGCAATTTAAGTCGATAAGTAGGATGTTTATATATATACAGAGTCCTACTTCCGGTTGGAATGATTTCCAGAAAGGAAACTTGTGACAGGTCAAATGACAATGAGGTCACATCTTTTCTGAAAGCGGTCACAAATAATAATTCATACTAACAACGCATAGTATATAAAAAAATATACAGATTTCCGCTCAATATCGCTATTGACCGGATGAAGGACGAGAATCCCCTTTTGTTATTTTCAATGTTAATGCACAGGACCAATAGATAATTCATATATTGCAATATATGTTGTATTAGTCCCAGTTTACAGATTGATATGGTAATTTTAAATTTACTTTATCATTTCAACGTATTTTCCTTGTTTATTACATCACAACCTTATCATGGAAGCAGATGTTCAGCCTTTGTGCACAGGCACTTGTCTCTGAAAAAAAATCATGTGACCTATATTCTCGTCTCTGAATATTTTTTTTACCTATATAAAATTAATCAGAGACATATATAGGTCTCTGCCTTAGTATATTAAGGTATATAGGTAATTTTTTACCTATATAACTAAATATATCAAGCTAGGTTTATAGATTAAAAAAAAAACAGAGACAAGTGCCTGCGCTATTGTATCCTACCCTTCAGTTATCCTTATTTCTTACAAAATAAAGAACTGCAAGTAGGTAGGGGAGACCGGGGATGAATGAGACATATTTCAGGTTTTTGTCTATACCTTCAAATCGACTGTATGAGCAATGATACGTCAAAAACAAACAGTTGAAAGAAATTATATTGCACACGCACACAAATTTGCATTTAGATTGAAATATTAATGGCCCAATGTCCCCATGACTGGCAAGCAATAGAAGAAGAATTTACCAATTCAAAAGTATTTGGAAATCAAGTAGAGACTTATAAAATGCAACTGTAGGTATATCTAATACGGTTCTATGATCTAATACAACCTGCAAAGTCTCGGAGGGGGAGGGGGGGATAATCATTAGAATGATTGGTAAACGCCATCGGATCGTCCTGATTAGCAATTCAAAAACCTATCACCTTTCGCATGACAATTACAATAACGTTATGTATTTTAATTTGTTCAATGACTTTCATAATATCAATGAAGTAGAATTCAAGTGTAATAGGATTGCAAGTATGCTTTATTCTATCACCTTGCACGTTCACGACTTGACTGTGTTTTTCTACAGCAGTTCGTTAAAATTTCTGACCGGTTAAACAGTTTGGTTTGCATGATACAACAAATTGCAATTTGGTCAGAATTTTGAATAAACTGCAATAGGTGGAGAGCAACACTTACAGTCAAGTCACGGTAAGTTTATTCAAATTCAGTTTCGTTATTATTATTTCATGATGTATAGGTGTCGTACCTATCGTACGGTCAGTTTCCAGCTGAAACAGGGGTTTCTGTCATTCAGCACGACAGCGCCAAAGCGATCGGTTCTAAATTACTTAGTTAATTTTAATTTATTTACTAGTCCCCCTTTTTTTAATTATTGATGAAATAAGATTCATAGGACTGGAGGGTTGTTTTTTCTATGGTATTATTTTGTGTGAAGTATATATTTGTGTATATATACATATGTGTTTGTTGAATGTTCATATGTAACATATTTAATAAACTCAGCAGCGGCGTTGTCGTGTAGCTTTGCACTTTATTTATGAGTTTTTGTATTCTTCATACTTTAACAGTATGTTATTTTCTTTTAAATGGTTTTTCAAAAGCATACATTATCATTGGGTGACGTACATGAGACTAGTATTTTGGAGTAAGTTCTTTTAATACAGAATGAAGGTTGTTACAAGAGAATATCATGATTATATACTAGTACTAGTAATCCCAAACTGAATATTTATTTGTTCTATGATATGTGCAACAGAATGAGTTCAAAACTCAGCTGATCCTGATATCATTTAATAAAAGAAGAGTACTTTTGATAACTCATGATACATTAACTTAACTTTAAAAATGCACACTGATTTCGTTCATGCCATGGTAATAGTAATGTGTGCCCAAATATATTCAAAATTATTTTTAACAATGACTTTAATATGGTATTATGAATTGATAGTGAAAGAAACTTCACTTTAAAGTCACATGAAAGGAGTTTCTTGTAATTTCAATGTTACCGAAATTATTATACCAACGCATGCATAATTGTTTACTTTTTACACATTGTGACTTTGATGGAGAATTGTCTCATTGGCATTCAAACCGCATCTCTTATATCTATAAATTAGGCCGTACTTTGACCTATAATGGTTTACTTTTACAAATTGTGACTTGGATGGAGAGTTGTCTCATTGGCACTCATACCAGATCTTCTTATATCTATTAAATAAGTCCTGTATGCACGTTTTTTTATATTTACTACGAATCTTTAACGAGCTATCGACAAATAATAATTCATTCAGTGATTGTTTATCGCAAGCTACTTAACCTTTTGGAGTTTGTTGCCGAAGTTTACTGGATCTTGACATTGATAAACAATCAACCGTTGTGACAGAGCACGTGGAAGCACGTGACAAATAAGTGAATTGATAGATCCATGATATTTTAATTTATATTTTCCATGCTTTCAGATTTGTTTATTAATCTTTTCTTTAACAGTTGTTTAATAATTTGTTGTATTAAATTTGTTCTTTATGAATCAGTTATTAATATTTACACGTTTGTTTACATTCTTTCATCACGGTTTCAAAAAAGTCCCCTTGCACTTGCACTGTGCCGTGGCAGGAGTTCTAACGAGATGTCTCGTAGTTAAGGTCACTGCATACGGGCAAATTTTGGCGAATTAGTGTACGAGAAGACAATAGTTCAATAGCAGCACATTTATGAAGATTTTGATAATACAAAGGATTTTCTTTTATAAGAAATTTCACGTACACTTGTTTTATAGTAAACCTTAGCCATTCAAGTATATAAATCATATTCAACTTTTTTTTTAATCTGAAATTTCATATGACTTTTAGTCTTTTGTAATTGAAATAAATCAACATATATAAGCATAGATGGGTACATTTTGAACATATACACATGAACGAAAATAACACAATCAAACCAAACTAAAAATAGCATGTCCTATTAACACCCATAACATTTTAAAGCTATCCGATAAATTCTGACCAAGTCAATTGTTTTTTTTCTAAAGTAGCTGACCAAACTGACAGGCTGCAAGTTATTAAATCATGAACACATATTCTATGGGGAAAATATTTTCGTTCAGTCCAATATTTGACGTCAGAAAATTACGCTCCTCGCAAATTTCAACAGTCTATTCCAAAAGGCTGTCTGAATTCCTACTGTCGAATATATAACCATATATACTGGTAATCTAAGGGGAAATGAAATCAGTATTACCATATGATATTACTAGAAAATAAACAAGCATTCAAAACGAAACGAAAAGGCAGCTGTGAATTTCCTCTTCAGTTAAAAATTTTCATTTCAACTACTAAGACAATTGTTATTGCGAAAATTTACCTTATTTTATCATGATGAATATTTCGAACTAATTGACAGCCACAATTAAATTGTTTTGAAAACAGCTTTGATACGATATGTATTTTACGGTAAAAGAGGAAATAATAATGGAAGGCACCCGCATGGTAACTGGAGAGCCACTACCCGTCATGGTAAACATCATATTAAATAGTATGTCAGTAGTTTGATTTTGTTGTTGTTCCATACTAAATTTGGCAGTTTAATACCTCAATCTATATCTGCATTGTACTCTTTTATTGTCTTGATATACATAGAACAAATTTTATACATCATAAATAAATCCAATAATTTTATAATATTAAGTGTAAAAAAATAAGGAGATGTTGCATGTACATCAGACAATATTTCCATGTTATATTTACCATAATTTCTAGAAACAACACATTTATTGCTGTTCCTTATCTTGATATTTTTCGCGGAGGGATTTCAACGATGAGATTCTTATTTAGATCAAGATGGCAACTGCTTATACCGTCGTTCTAATAGAAAATATTAAGACAAACCAATCAGTCAATGATTCATGGCAGTGAAGGCCATATGTTTTTTTTTTTTTTGACAAGACAGTCATCTCCTAAAAAGGATATGGCCCGAGGCGAAGTTGAGGTCCACATAGTTTTAACGCGATGTGCGACAGGTAAAAAAAACCTGCCATTTTACCCAAAGTAACACGAATTGTTGGTTATAGTACAATTCAAACTGTTTAAGTGACTATGTGTTATTGGATGAAATACCACATACATAACGACACATAATAGTCTCTAATTCAATTATTTTAATTTTAATAGTGATGGAAAAATGGTACAAGCATTAGGAGACTTGTATATGCCAGACGCAACTAAGCCATCAAGTCTGAAAGTTAATTTTGCTAGGGTAAGTAACTAATCTGTTTAGCCTTTAGCGCAGCTTTTATCGTTTATTAACTCAATATTTCACATTGTTGCTTAAATAAAGTTTTACAAAACCAAAGTAAACCTTTTTATATTTATATACCTGTTGGCTTTGGACATTTAAACATTGAAGTCCCTTTTAATCCTTAATTTGAAAAAAATAATTAATTCAGATATTAAAGCTTTATATAATAATGTTATGCGATCTGGATTGAAAGACAATATTATCCTATTTTCTGAACAATATTAAATTTGTATCCATAATATATTTTTCACAAACGGGTTGATTTTGTTGTGGGTTTTTGGCTATGGTTTAGTTTAGTTTTAATAGTTTTGTTTATCTTTTTATTTTCCCCCTTTTCTGTGTGTGGAAATTACATTTATTTTTTCGTTTTGTTTTCAGTTGCTCCATATGGAAATTATGTAGTTATTGATACAGATTACACTAACTACACCCTCATGTACTCATGTACTAGTATTTTGGGAATAGTCTTTTTGAATTTGCATGGATTTTGGGAAGGCAGAGAACAATGGATCAAGCACTTGTAGATAGACTTTTTGCTGAATTAAAAAGTTATAATGTAGATGTTGGACCTTTTAT